CTTTTTTCCTCCTCTAAAAACTTTTTCAAAAAAATTCAAGTGTGTTGTGGAATTCTTTTGTCTTTTCCTTAGTTATTTTAAAGTATAACATCAGGATTGGAAAATGCTATTTGAGGAAATTGTTGTTTTCAATGATACTTTCATTTGTGTGAATTTATAGACTTCCACATGCTTTTATCTCATCTGATGTTCCCAATAGCCCTATACAAGTATTATTGGTCCCTAATTAGAAGTGAGGAAGAAAGTTTAAGTCTGACTAGGATCACATGCTCTTAAGGGAGAGGACTAGGACTCACTCTCCTTACCCCCTGTTCATTTTAATATTTACCATACTATATCTTATGATGAAGGAAGGATTTGGATGGGAACCTGGATGGCTCAGTTGGTTAAGCATCTGCCTTCGGCTCAGGTCGTGATCTCAGGGTTCTGGGATGGAGCTCCCTATCAGGCTCCCTGCCCGTTGGGGAACCTACTTCTCCCTCTGCTCCCTGTTTGTGCACTCTTTTGCTATCTCTGTCTCTCTCTCGTATAAATAAAATCTTAAAAAAAAAAGTATTTGGAAATTCTTTTTTTTTTTTTTTTAATTTTTATTTATTTATTTGACAGATCACAAGTAGGCAGAGAGGCAGACAGATAGAGGGGAAGGGAAGCAGGCTCCCTGTTGAGCAGAGAGCCTGATGTGGGGCTCGATCCCAGGACCCTGAGATCATGACCTGAGCTGAAGGCAGAGGCTTAACCCACTGAGCCACCCAGGCACCCCAGTATTTGGAAATTCTAATTCCAAGTCTTTTGTACTTTATATTTGCTAATTTAGTTATAATTTTTTTTTAAAGATTTTGTTTATTTATTTGACAGAGATTCACAAGTAGGCAGAGAGGCGGGGGGTCGGGGTGGAGCAGGTTCCCTGTTTAGCAGAGAACCCAATGCGGAGCTCGATTCCAGGACCCTGAGATCATGACCTGAGCTCGAGGCAGAGGCTTAACCCACTGAGCCGCCCAGGTGCCCCCTAATTTAGTTATAATTAAGCTGTTGTCTTACTTTTTTTTTTTTTTTTGTGATAAAAGCCACATAACATAAAATTTACCTTAACTATTTTTAAGTGTATAGTTCAGTAGTGTTAAATATATTCACATGGTTGTATATAGACTACCAGAACTTTTCATCTTACAGATCTGAAATTATATGCATTAAACAACTTCCCTTTTCTCCCTCACTCCATTCCCTGGTAACTGCATTCTACTTTGTTTCTATGAATTTGATTACTCTAGATACCTCATATAAGTTGAATCATGCAGTGTTTGTCTTTTTTTGTGACTGGCTTATTACTTCACTTAGCATAATGTCCTCAAGGTTCATCCATATAGATAGAATATGACAGGATTTCTTTCATTTTAAAAAGGCTGAATAGGTGTGCCTGGATGGCTCAGTTGGATAAGCATCAGACTCTTGATATAGGCTCAGGGTTGAGAGATTGAGCCCTGCTTCGGCTTCCCCGCTGGGCATGGAGCCTGTTTTAAGAGTCTCTCTCTGCCCCTTCCCTCTTGCTCACTCTTGAACACCCTCTCTCTCTTTCTTTTCCCCCTATAAAAAAAAAACCCTAAAGGGTGAACAGTATTTCAATGTATATACTACATTTTGTTTATTCATCTGTCAATGGACATTTGAGTTGTTTCCTCCTTTTGGCTATTGTGGAGAGTGCTGCTATGAATGTGGGTGTGCATGCAGCTGTTTGAGTCCCTGCTTTCAATAATTTGGATATATACCAGGTGGGATTCTTCGGTCGTATATAGTTCTCTTTAATTTTTTCAGGAACCTCCATACTGTTTTCTGTAGCAGTTGAATCATTTTAGAATCCTACCAACAGTTTACAAGGATTCTAGTTTCTCATCCTTGCCAAGACTTGCTATTTTCTGGTTTTTTTTTTTTTCGATAGTAGCTATCATAATGGGTGTTATGTGATAACCTCATTGTGATTTTGATTTGCATTTTATTGATTAGTGGTGTTGAGCATGTGTTCATATGCTTGTTGGCTATTTGTATATCATCTTTGGAGATATACTGTTGATGTCCTTTGCTCATTTTTAAATCAAGTTTTTTGTTGCTGTTGCTGAGTTGTAGTTCTTTATATATCCTGGATAGTAATCCATAATTGGATATAAGATTTACAAATATTTCCTCCTATTCTGTTGTCTTTTCATTCTGTTTTTTTGTTGTTGTTTATTTTTATTTTTATTTTTTTTAAGATTTTATTTATTTGTCAGAGAGAGTGAGCACAGGCAGACAGAGTGGCAGGCAGAGGCAGAGGGAGAAGCAGGCTCCCTGCCGAGCAAGGAGCCCGATGTGGGACTCAATCCCAGGACGCTGGGATCATGACCTGAACTGAAGGCAGCCGCTTAACCAACTGAGCCACCCAGGCGTCCCTCATTCTGTTGATCTTTGATGCACAAAAGTTTTAAACTTTGATATAGTCCATTTGTTTGTTTTTACAAACAGACGAACGGACTATATCCGTTATACTTGGCCATGATTTCTGGGAAATCATGGCCAAGTATAATATCATGAAGATTTCCTCTGTGTTTTCTTCTAAAATTTTTATATTTTTAGGTTTACATTCAGGCTTTTAATCCATTTTGAGTTAATTTTTGTATGTGGTATAAGGCAAAGCTCCAACTTCATTCTTTTGCATGTGAATATCCAGTTTTCCCAGCACATTTTATTAAATTGATTGCCTTTTCTTTGTTGAATGATTTGTACCCTTGTTGAAAATCATTTAACTGTATATGCGAAAGTTTATTTCTGGGCTCTTTGTTCTTTTCTGTTGGTTTGTTTGTCTTTATGCTAAAACCACAATTGTCTCCTTTTGGTATTTTTGCCCCTTTGCTGTTTTATGTTGCTAATTGGAAGTTATTGGTTGTTGTCAAGAATAAAGTGGGAGTAGTTAATTACCATGTTATAAAGAATATGTTGGAATAATTTATAAAAAAATAACTTTAGTGTATTCGTTTGGCTCTGTGATTTTTGGAGTAATCAGAAAAATGATCTCCCTAAGGGTAGGGATGATGTTCTTAATTCTTTTTACAGCATTTTAATTGCAGGGTGTGGAGTAATTGATAATCTCTGAAGATGCAGGGGTGTGGTAAATTTGCTGATTGCAGAAGAAGCCATTATGTTCCACTTAAATATTAGAATAGGGCTGGTGGTAAATGACTCAAGACTCTAGCGACCAACATTTTCTTGTTGGTTTGTTTGACATTGGCTTTGAAATAAAAAGACACGAATCGATGGCTAATTTGCATATGGAAAATTAATCTTCAAATGTGTCTTTTCTTTAAAGGAAGGGGAAGAAGAGAAAAAAAAAATTGAAAGCTTCTTTGCCTTTTTAGGGCCTCATATGCCTCAAACATGGAAAAGCTAATGGGAAGGGAACTTATTTTTTCTCATAATCTAGTACTTTGGATTCTGTTTTACTGTGTATCAAGTGGGTTTGCTTCTTGTATTATTTTTCATCACATGTATCTGTAGATTTATTTATATCATTTCTTTTCAGATTCTTCTGGCTCTACCCTGCTTATTCTGCTGCTTACCCTTCCTCTTCCCCAATATAAAACCTGGTTTCTCTCTCGTCTTCGAATCAGTTCTAATTTCTACCTGTTTGTCGACTGTCAAGAAGGACTTTTCTGTCAAGTGGGCTTTTCTCTATTCTGGATAATTATTCTTTCTATTGTCCTAAAACTTAAAGTTTTTCAAAGTTAAGACCCAGTTTTTTATTTCATGAGGCCCTTCTAGATGGCTGTAATTTTCACTTGATTTCTATAAACTTTCACTTTGTTTCATTTAAAATTCTGTGTTTTGCTTGTTTTTTTATCTCTTTCCAATGAATTTAATAAGCCCTAGAGTAAGGACTTTCTGTTATACTTAAATATTCTCTACCAGGAATGTAATATAGTACTAGACATACATTAGGCATTAACTTTTGTCTCCACCCAAACTACCCCTGTTCCCTTATTTTTCTCTTCTCTCTCTTCTCCTCCCCCACTACTTTTTTTTTTTTTTTGAGAGAGAGAGTACATGCATATGCATGAGTGGAAGGAGGGCGAGGGGGAAAGGGAGAGAGAGGATCCTCAAGCAGACTTCCATGAGCTTGGAGCCCCTTGCAGTACTTGATCCCAGGACCCTGAGATCATGACCTGAGCTGAAACCAAGAGTTGGATGCTCAACCAGCTAAGCCACCCAGGCATCCATTCCCACTTCTTTTCTCCTGATTTAACATGTTAAATTTCTCCTTTTTTGGGATAAAATTTGCTTCATACTATATTTTGAAATAATGTTTTGAACATGTTTTAAGATTTGGATTTCATAGCTGCTTGACGTTTACAAGATACCCTCTATACACACAAAAAAACTAGTAAGAAAAACTAAAAAAAAGTTTTATAATGTATATTATAAAGATCGTCTTTCCTTAGTTTACAAAGAGCTTGTACAAACAAATAAGAATAAAAATTAGTAATGTAATAGAAAATATGAGTGAAGGATGTGAAGGCATTTAAGAAAAAAATAGAAATTCAGCTTTCTTGTAGTTAAATGCAAATCACAATGAGGTACTATTTTTTTTAATCAAATGAACAAAAATTAAGTTTTATGATACTTAGTGCTGACGAGAGGTGATGGAGAAATGACCATTTTCATGCATTGTTAGTACTTTGTTATACTTTGTTACTCAGACCAGAAACAGGTTTTACTAGGAAGATGGTAAGAGAGGATATTGGATAGGCAACTGAAAATGTCTTGCCACATGGCTCATGCAATTTTTCTAGAGAAAAATTTCAACATTTTCCCCAATTTAATATACACAGATTCTTTGATTCAATGTTTCCGTTGTTCAGAGATCAAGAATGAAGTTAATATATTTCTTTAATAGGTAGCTGGGGCTTTTAAAAGGTGGTTTTCATGATGCCAAATAAACATTTGGAAGATGTTCCTCTTTATTTGTGTTTCCACAGATCATTAACTGAAGACAACATAAGCAAATATGCAAAATTCTCACATGGATGAGTACAGAAATTCTAGTAATGGCAGCACAGGCAACAGTTCAGAGGTAGTGGTAGAACAGTCTGCTGATTTCAGTACTGAGATTATGAATGTGACGGAAATGGAACAGTCCCCTGATGGATCTCCTAATGTGAATGCAGCTGCGGAAGAAAATGAAGTAACAAATGCTGTGGACCTTCCAGTGACAGAAACAGAAGCAAATTTCCCTCCAGAGTATGAAAAATTCTGGAAAACTGTAGAAAGCAATCCTCAGGATTTTACAGGCTGGGTATATTTGCTTCAGTATGTAGAACAGGAGGTTAGTAACTATTTAAATGGGATTAGAAGGGACAGATGAATCAAGTAACACCAGATGAGGTTTACTGTTTTGTAATTAAACTTGCCTCTTTTATGATTTTCAAATTAAGTTGAATAACATTAGATATGTACATTTTTAGCTTTAAAATAACTTTTATAACATTTGTACCTATTTGTCAACATTAGCAGAGTCTAATATTTTTAATAACTGGTGTGTATGCGCAAATGTGTATTTAATCACTGAAATAAAAAGTTACCTTGCTCTCTGACAGAATTACTTCCTTTTGTTTCAAAGGATAAGACTGTAATATATAAGAAAAAGATCTGTGTGTGTATGTGGTTTTTAAATCTGCGAGTTTATTTTATTTGAGATAATACATTTGGAAGAAATAATATTTTTGTGACATTAACTTCTAGGATTTTTAAATACCTTGTTTTATTTTCATCAGAATCACTTGATGGCTGCCAGGAAAGCGTTTGACAAATTTTTCATACACTATCCATATTGCTATGGTTACTGGAAAAAGTATGCAGACCTTGAAAAGCGGCATGACAACATTAAACAATCAGATGAGGTGCGTACATTACTGAATAAAATTATCTCCCTTAGGTACTGTAAGCCAAATAATAAAACAAAAACTTTATTTTTTATTTATTTATTTATTTATTTTGGCTGGCAGTACCTACGATTTATGGTCAAACAATTTTATAGGGTATTTTATTTGCATTTGTCACTCTTGTGGCATTTGTAGCTAATATTTTCTCTCTTTGTTGGCAGGTGCGTTAAACCTCTACAGTTTGTCAAGCTTTGCAGTGCAAGCCTCTGTATTACACTGCAGCTTAACAAGTAGGGCAGGGCTTTTCTCTCACTTACATTTATTTCTCATTTTCCAAACAATATAGTTGGTTTGCTAGTCACATTTGCTACGTCTTATTGCATTTTTGGTCAGACGCTGTCATTGATGCTCTAATGGGTCTGTGCCCTATGGTCTGTAACCCAAAGCCTGCCCACACAACCCGGTCAGAATGCAGGGACTGCTGCGCTTTGAAGATCAAGACTCTGCACGTGGGGATCAGAACATTGCCATGTTCTATCCAACCTCCACCCAAATGGTAATGGTAGATTATTTAAACAAAATTCCAGTAATTAGTATTTCTAAGGTTCACCGGATAACACAGTGTTGCCTCTCTGTTAAGAAATAATTAAATATTTGAAGTACAGTTTGTTGTTTTCTTCTTAGGTATATCGACGGGGGCTTCAGGCAATACCTCTTAGTGTTGATCTATGGATACATTATATAAACTTCTTAAAAGAAACATTGGACCCTGGTGATCCTGAGACAAACAGTACAATAAGAGGGTATGCTAAAAATTGATACTCAGATGCCTTCAAAATAGAAATAAGTCAAATATTTTGATGTTGACAATAGAACTACTCATGAATGCTGAACTGAATGTTTAACATTTCATTTTCACTATTTTAAAAAAGATACATGTAATAAACTGACTCATGATTATAAATATAGATAATAATGTCCTCATTTCACACGCCCCCTTCCTTATGTTCCCAATCCCATTCCCTCCATGATTTATGAATTGTGTGTTCTTTCATATATGGATGTGTATACGTGTATGTATTTTACATATTTGATTTTTTTTAATGTAACAGGCTGTTTTGGAATCTCTTCCTATCGTAATTTTTCAAGCATTGCAAAAGTATTTTGTGGTACTGAAGTACTATATTTATTGGACTAAATCCTTATTTATAGGAAATAATCAGTGGTGCTATAAACATGTCTGTATTAGTCATTATTTATGTCGAGCATGCTAGAAATAGAACTTTTGTCAAGAGAACACAAAACTTTTATCAAATGTTCTTTCAAAAGTGGTCAATTTTAAACTCCCACAGTGTATGAAGAGTAGTCATATTTTCCCATAGCTGTGCCACATTCTTTTTAACCTCCAGTGATATCTCATTATTTTCATTTGCATATCTCTGGATTGCTCATCCCAGTTTGCCATCTTTTTTGTATACTTGCATCAGCCATTTGCTTATTGCCTGTTCATGTCATTTGCTTGTTTTACTTTTGGATTGTCCTTTTCTTATTGATGATAGGAATTTTTTTTTAATGTGTTCTTGGTTTTTATTTTTATCAAAGTATGTGCATATGGTTTAAAAGTCATTGTTAAACTGCTTGTAACAAAAAGCAGTCCCTCCACCCCTCAAATATTTTATCTGTTTCTTATATTATCCTCGATGTTTATAATAGTAACTCTTTACTGCTCTTTCTCTCTCTTTATTATATTATGATTTTGGTATAGTAGATGAGATTTTTAGTTCACTTATACCCTGTCTTCCCATTTCTTACTTTTCCAATATGGATAGGTTTCATAGCCTTTTATTTTTCCTGGAGTAAATTACCCCTTCTAACACTCCTTCCTTTTTCTCACTTGCTTTGTTTTCCTTGAACATTTAAAATTTCCTACCCCCTCCAACAGCTATTTTCAGTTGTCAGTAGTAATAACTGGACTTCCTGCAGTGTACAAATGCTATGTGTGTTTTTTTGAAGCTAAAAACTGTGTATATCTAGTGTTACTCTGCTTAATCTGAAATTGTGAAAGGGAGTTATACTCGGAAATTTGCAAATTCCATTTTTTACCCTTCCCCTTGGGGGATATCCCTCTTGGAACTTTCTCTTCCATAGTCTGGATTGGTTGCTTTGTTCTATTTCTGCCAAAAAGCAGTTATTTTGAGATTTCCTCATCATGAATACAGGAGATGCTTTTACCTCTTTCTTGGGTTTCAAGTTCTAATTCTGAGAGTTTATAAGATCCCGATTTTTCTTGGCTGCTGCCTATCTTTAGAGGAGTGTATCCTATAACTTCTTGATAAAAGATGCTTGGGAGAAAAAAAAATTAAGCTTTTGTAAATCTGAAACACCCACTTGATGATCCAGTGGGGTATAGAGTTTTGATTTGGAAGTAATTTTTCCTTAGGGCTTTGAAGGCGTCTCCATTCTTTTTATAGCTTTTGGTTTTGTTAATGAGAAGTATGATAATTCTGTGGATTCCCTTTGTATGACTCGTTTTTCCTCATGGAAGCTTTTAAAATGTTCTCTTTATCTTTGATATAAGTGCAGTTTTATAATATGCTTTGGTGTGAGTTTTCTTTTTCTAATTCATTGTGCTTACTTAGTGGGCCTTTTCATTTTATGGTGCTCATGTCTTTCTCTTCAGAGAAATGTTATTATTGAGGTGCATGGCTGGCTTAGTATAGCATTGAACTTTTCATCTTGGGGTCATGAGTTGAGCTCTCTGTTGGGCTCAGAGTTTGCTTGGGCTAGAGTTTGCTTAAAAAAATAATAAAATTAAAAAATCATCATTAGTGTATATATTCTTATGTTGGTAATTCTCTTCCTGTGGTTTTCTCTATTGTTTTTATAGTTGTACATTGGATCTTCTGTTTTAATCATTTAATTTAATTTTTTTTCACTTTTTACATGTCAGATTTTTTTGGCTTTTTGAGGTATTTCCTTGACCCTTATATTGGATTTTTAATATCTGCCATCATTTTTTTAATATTTAAGAATCTTTTTTGTTTATTGTTCCTTTTATCTTCCTATTTTTGTTATATGGCTTATATCTTTTTCTTATTTTTAAAAAAGTATAAAAAGTGTTAAAGTTATCTTCTGTTTCCAGCACTATTTTCTCTGAAGTGTTTTATTGTTTTCATCTCTGACTTGTCTGATTTCTGACCATGTGAAAGATGAGATTTTAGGGGTGGCTGGGTGGCTCAGTGGGTTATGCCCCTGCATCCGGCTGTCTGCTCAGCAGGGAGCAGGCCCCTCCACCCCCCCTGCCTCTCTGCTTACTTGTGATCTCTCTCTCTCTCTTTGTCAAATAAATAAATAAAATCTTCAAAAAAAAATAAAAGATTAGATTTTAGGGGCACCTCAGTGGCTTATTTGGTTAAGCATCTGCCTTCAGCTCAAGTCATGATCCCAGGGTCCTGGGATTGAGCCCTGTGTGGAGCTCTGCTTGTCAGGAAGCCTGGTTCTCCTTTCCCCTACTTGTGGGTGCATGTGCTCTCTCAAATAAAATCTTTTTAAAATACTAGATTTTAATAAACTGAATATAAGCTCTGTGTATTTTGTATGCAGGGTATTATCGGCTGGCTTGATGGGCTTTGCAGTAGGGTGATCAAATGGGCACTCAGGTTTTTGTTGGGAGAATCCCAGTGTTGGTATTCTTACACTTTACTACTATGCCAAGCAGTTCTTCATTGAAGGATCATCTGATCTGCCTGGGGAATGTATACCTAGCTGCTGAAATCCCATAGCTGGGTAGGAAAGGAGGTGTAAGGTCTCTTACCATTCCTTAAAGCAACCTTCTTGTAAATATCCTGTCTTTAGTTCATTAAATGCTTCTTAATCATAGTTAAGATGATTAACTCTCCCAACTCCTTCCACTTTTGTTAGTTTCTGGTGTTTTAATTTCCTAAATCATTTTGGGATTCTGCAGGGGCAGTAACATGTATTTTACTGTCTTGAAAACCTCAGACACAAACATATACATGTGTGCATGCATGCATAGACACATCCTCTTAATCCTTTATGGATATATTAACATCCTCCAGTTTTGGTACATTTTTAAACTTTGTTTAGAATGTCTATCTTGTCTTTTCATCACTTTTTTCTTAATGTGGTTCAATCTTTAATCTTTTATTTGTATGTGAGTCTTTTGCCTGTTTTGCCAAAAATATGTAAATCTGGTATTTTCTTCTAATTTTTTAATAGTTTTGTTTTGTTACTCATTCATCTGGCATCTAAATCTGTGTCTTTTTTAAGTCATAGATTAACCTTTTATTTTGTCCAACTTTTTTGTGTTGATTTAAAATACCTTCTTTATCATATACTAAATTCTCACATATACATTGTTCTGCTTTCTTGGAACTGTTTTGTGATCCATTTTTCTGTTACCTGGCCAATATCATAATTTTAATCCCTGTAGCTTCCTAATTTCTTTTGATATCTTTCAGGAAAATGTCCTCTGCATTGTCCTTTTTGTATGTTAGCTGAGTGTTAGAATTTGTTTAACCTGTTTCACTTAAAATTTGTTAGACCTTTGATTGGAATTTTATTAAAGTTGTAGATTAATTCAGGTAGTATAGTTCATACTGTTAAAAATCCCTCTTGATTGTAAGATACATTTTGGAAATATGTACCTAAAAGTTTTATCCCACTGAGATATCAAATCCAGTGATTAAAATTGCGTACAAAAATCTCTTGAAATGAGTTAGGTTGTTTAAAAACACATGGTGTTATTTTTGTTTTGTTTTAGTAATCTGTAATTTTAGAATCAGAGAGACTTTTGAAAGTTTTAAAAACATATGTATACTTCTCATTACCTTACAAGGCAGTTGGGTTCCTTCTTGGAGAGTTATATTTTGCCAGAAAATTAGTCCTTAAATTGAGATAAAATTTGTCTCTGTCTTCTGCTGTAGATGAATCTGTTTGACAGACATTTCAGATTTCACAAATATTTAAGTATCTGCATTGTCACTCTTGATATGTTTGCAGTGTGTACATTTTGCATTGTAATTCTGTGTAAGATAAAATTACATCAAAGTACGTATATTCCCGTTTCCTTACTCTTGAAAAAGTAGCTGTTGTACACTTTTTTGTTACTCCTTCTGCCTTTTATTCCCTACTTATATAGGAAACAGTTAAATGTAATTTTGAATTTAGCATGATTTTCTGAAATTTTGAAATGTTTTATTTATTTTTAATTTTTAAAAAATTGTATAACTGACATATATTAGTTTTAGTTGTACAACTTAATGATTTGATATTTGTATTACTATAAGGTACAGAAATATTTTTAAAGTGATTTTATTTTGGAAAGATAACTTAGAGGTGATTTAATTTTTCAGAACTTTCGAGCATGCTGTTCTAGCTGCAGGAACAGATTTCCGATCTGACAGACTGTGGGAAATGTATATAAACTGGGAAAATGAACAGGGTAACCTGAGAGAAGTTACAGCTATATATGATCGTATTCTTGGTATTCCAACACAGCTGTATAGTCACCATTTTCAGAGGTGGGTAGAAAAATCCAATCATTAAAATATATTTGATTATTCATGTAATTAATTAATATTGAGGATTATAATTCTCTTGAAATGTCATTTGAGATTCTTTTAGATAAAAAGAGGAATAAATTTTCTTACTTGATGATCACAATTTATACACTTTTAAATTTTAACTTTTTCCCATATACTTTAGGAAATGTTTAGGAACTTTATTGTTTTTATTTATTTGTTTTTAAAGATTTTATTAGAGACGGAAATAGTGACAGAGAGCATGAGTAGGGAGGAGAGAGAGAAGCAGGCTTCCTGCCGAGTTGGGAGCCTGATGTAGGGCTTCTTTTCAGGACCCTGCGATCATGACCTAAACCAAAGACAGACACCAACTGAGCCACCCAGGTGCCTACTGTTTTTAAACACAAGTTTTTCTTTATCCATTTTATAGATGAGGAATAATGGGAATCCTATCTAAGGTGTTTTGGAGTGGTGAAGGAATGAGAAAATAGAACCCAAGTTTAATTATTCTTTGTGTAAGCGGTACTAAGTTAATAGAGTACATGGCACATAAATATGCTTATTTATTTATTTATTTATTTATTTATTTATTTTTTTAAAGATTTTATTTATTTATTTGACAGAGAAAGATCACAAGTAGACAGAGAGGCAGGCAGAGAGAGAGAGAGGGAAGCAGGCTCCCCGCCGAGCAGAGAGCCCGATGCGGGACTCGATCCCAGGACCCTGAGATCATGACCTGAGCCGAAGGCAGAGGCTTAACCCACTGAGCCACCCAGGCGCCCTAAATATGCTTATTTAAAACTTACTGGTTTACTCGGGGCTCCTTGGCTGGTTCTGTCTGTGGAGCATGTGACTTTTGATCTCAGGGTTGTACGTTCAAGCCCCAAGTTGGGTGTAGAGATTACATTAAAAAAAAAAAAAAATCTTAAAAACAAACTTAATGATGTACTAAAGGTACATTCTTGGGATTCATATAACACCTTATACCGAGAACATCTATTTTCAAAAGGGTGTATTTTATGTAGTAAATCTAAATCTGTTCGTATTCAGTCAAAAGTAATTTCATTTAAGTTTCCCACTATAATTTTGTCCTGACTGGTATTATTTCATTTTTATGAGTACTGTTAAAACAGCTAATTCTGTGTGATGTGATTTCCACATTGTTTTCTGATGTACTCAAAATATCCCACTGCTTAAGGACTCAAAGTCTTTCTGAACAAGAAAGTATATATTTTAAGTATCTGCTGTGTTAATAAATACTTGCATGTTTTTTAGCTACCATATTTTCGACATTTTTGTTAAAACTTTTATAAGTAGTATAGTGTTAGAGCCTGTAAACTTAGTGCTTTTTTTAGTAAGTGAATTTCCAAATTTTTTTTTTTACTAAAAAAGTTAGAAGACTATGAAGCATCTAAAAAGTTATGTGGATCAATTTGCTGAAGATTAGAGGAAGTTATGCAGATCCAGATTAGAAATAGGAATTGTATAGATCTGAATATATGATCTGTTTTTTACGAAATAGAGGAGATGTCCAGGTTTTTAGGGTATAATGACCTAGGAAGACACTTGATTAAAGACATTATTATGGGTGCCTGGGTGGCTCAGTGGGTTAAAGCCTCTGCCTTCAGCTCAGGTTGTGGTCCTGGGGTCCTGGAATCGAGCCCCGCATCGGGCTCTCTGTTCAGCAGGAGGCCTGTTTCCCCTCCTCTCTCTGCCTGCTTCTCTGCCTTCTTGTGATATCTGTCAAATAAATAAATAAAATCTTTAAAAATAAATAAATAAATAAATAAAGACATTATTAACACAAGGTTTGACATACAGAAGTGCTTGATGCATATTTTTTGAATAAAAGAATACAAAGATTTTAAAAATCCTTACGAGACAAAGAGGATACCTTTTCCTAAACCAATTCTTATGGGATCTACAGTATAGATAAAGTCTGTGATAACTTTATTTTTGGTAAGAAAAATAAAATATGATTAGGAAACACTTGCTACATGGCATTTGCTGTATGTCAGACGCCATTCTGAATGCTTATTTATAACTTACAGCATTATAACTTAAGCATATAATTTACAGCATTTATAATTTATTTAATCCTTACAGTAAGCCAGTGAGGTATACTATTATCCCCACTTTATGGGGATATTATTATCCCCATTTTATGGAAGTAGAGGCACAGAAATATTAAAATACTTGCATGAGGGGCACCTGGGTGGCACAGTCATTAAGCATCTGCTTTCTGCTCAGGTCATGATCCCAAGGTCCTGGGATCAATCCCCACATTGGGCTCACTGCTCAGTGGGAAGCCTGCTTCTCCCTCTCCCTCTCCCTCTCCCACTCCCCCTGCTTTTGTTCCCTCTCTTGCTATCTCTCTCTCTGTCAAATAAATAAAATCTTTAAAAAAAATAAAGTATTTGCATGAGGTCACAGAGTTAGTGTTTGGAAGCTGATTGAAACATAGATGGTGTGGCTCCAAAGTTCTTGGTATAGTCTCCTCCAGATCTTTTTGTTGTTGTTAAATGAATATCCCAGGAAGCCTGGGTGGTTCAGTTGGTTAAGTGTCTACGTTTGGGTCAGGTCATGATCTCAGGGTCCTGGGATCAAGCCCTGCATTGGGTTCCCTGCTCAGTGGGGACCCTGCTTCTCCCTCTGCCCTGCCACCCCTATTTGTGCTCTCTCTCAAATAAATAAAATCTTAAAAAAAAAAGTGAATATCCCAGTAGGTTTTTAAAATTATGTTTATGCTTATAATAGACATTGGTGGATGGCATTACACATACTGCTCTTTAATCTACACTTCTTTTTTTTTTTTTAAAGATTTATTTGAGAGAGAGAGGGAGAAGGGGAGAAAGAATCTTAAATAGACTCTGTGCTGAGTATGGAGTTCGATGCAGGGCTCACTCTCATGACTCTGAGGTTATTACCTGAGCTGAAATCATGCGTCTGATGCTTAACTGATTGAGCCATCCAGGCACCCCAAATCTCCTCTTTTTCTTTTACTATATTGATAACCACTTTCCTTATCAGTGTTTATAGCACACTCACAAGTAGTGTTTGTGTAAGTAAATCTTAAGACATAACTGACTGCTTTGAGAACCAGTGGAATGTTTTCTTTTGCCTAATACATTCCTACTTGGTCATTTATTTAGTACTTGTTATATAAAAGATTATATACCATTTAAGTTGTAGAAGTAAAGGCTCAGAGAAGCTATGTGTGAATAGTGTTGGCTCTCAAGCTGGTCAGAAGTGTGGAGGAAGAAGCATGTTTAAAACAAAAGTGTTCAACAGCACCTGGGTGGCTCAGTTGGTTGGGCACAGACTCTTGATTTTAGCTCCAGTGGGAGTCTTAGAGTCATGGGATCGAGACCCAGAGGGGGCTCCCTGCTCAGTGGCAGATTTGCTTGGGATTCTTCTCTCCCTACACCCCTCCACTACTTGGCGCATGTGCACGCTTCCCTCTCTCTTTTTTTCCTCTCTCAAATATTTTAAAATTATAATTATTATAATAATATATATTATGATACATTATTATAATTTTCTCATAATAAAAATCTTTTATTTATTATTTTTATTTTTATTTTTTTAAGATTCTTATTTGTCAGATAGCAGATAGCAGAAGCACAGAGAGCTGCAGGCAGAGCAGACAGAGCAGACAGTGGGAGGAACAGGTTCCCTGCTGAGTAAAGAGCCTGATGTGGGAAGCCTGATGTGGGACTTGATCCCAGTGGGATCATGACCCCAGCTGAAGGCAGACGCTTAACCATCTGAACCACACAAGCGTCCCTCAAATAAATAAATCTTAAGAAAAGTGTTGTAAGAGCTGTCACAGAAATATTTCTGTTATGTAGATTTGTTTATTGGATATATACTGATGACATTATCTCTAAGGAAATACGTAATTTAAAATTTTCCTTAGCTTGAGAGTTTGTGTTGTTGATTTAACTTCTCAGACCTGGTCCCTGGTAGTTCCTAAGCTCCAGACCTATTTAAATACTGATAATTTCCCAGAAGGCACTGCTCTTTTGTGCTTCTGTGATTTTAATACCTTTTCTGCTTCCCATTTGCCTGGTTAATTCATAGTACTCAAAACCATACAGCTTAATGTTTTCTGTGTGAAACTCTAATTTGCCAAAATAGAATGTTCTGTTATTTGTGCCAGCACTTTGCCTCTTTATTTACATTTGTCTTTTTTTTTTTTTTAAGATTTTATTTATTTATTTGACAGACAGAAATCACAAGTAGGCAGAGAGGGAAGCAGAGAAAGAGAGGGGGGAGCAGACTCCCTGCCAAGCAGAGAGCCCGACTCGGGGCTCCATCCCAGGACCCTGGGATCATGACCCGAGCTGAAGATAGAGGCTTAACCCACTGAGCCACCCAGGTGCCCCTACATTTGTCTTTTTTAAAAAAAATTATTTTATTTATTTTAGGGAGGAAGCAGACATAGGGAGAGAGAAACTTAAGTAGATTCCATGCTGAGCATGGAGCCCGGCTTGATGTGGGGCTCCATTCTTTAATCCCGAAATCGACCTGAGCTGAAACCCAGGGTCCAGAGGCTTAACCAACTGTGCCACCCAGACACCCCTACTTACTTTAACACTAATAACACTGCTTTGAAAGTATGTCTTTTTTAAACTGCTGTGCATATCTGTCAGTTTCTGAGACTTATTAATTTCTTTTATTCTTAGAGTGTAGGAATAGGGCTCAGTATATATTAGACTCTTAGCCATTCTTTATTAAATTAGCTTTATATTAGGAAAGGCTGATGAACGTTTATTGCTTAATATTCATATTTTATCACCATTTGAAATAATTTCCTATATAATGTAACAGTTAATATTATATTTTTTAAAGATTTTATTTATTTATTTGACAGACAGCGATCACAAGTAGGCAGAGAGGCAGGCAGAGAGAGAGAGAGAGGAGGAAGCAGGCTTCCCGGTGAGCAGAGAGCCCGATGCAGTACTAGATCCCAGGACTCTGGGATCATGACCTGAGCCGAAGGCAGAGGCTTTAACCCACTGAGCCACCCAGGTGCCCCATAATGTAGCAATTATTTTAAATTTGTGCTCTGTAAGTAGTCATCAATTTTATATTTTTATTTGTACCCCAATACTTTTGAGTTTTATTATTTACCTGAATATTAAGTCTGTTCTTTTTTTTTTTTTTAAAGACTTTATTTATTTATCTGACAGAGTGAGTGATTGCACAAGCAGGGGGAGCTCCAGAGGGAGAGGGAGAAGCAGGCTCCATGCTGAGCAGGGAGCCCTACACAGGGCTTGCTCCCAGGATTCTGGGATCAAGACCTGAGCCGAAGGCAGCCCTTAACATTATCTGAGCCACCCCAGATGCCCCTAAATCTGTTCATTTTCTTACTATACTTTCTGAAAATTACCTCCTCATTTCTAAGTTGCTTTTTTTTTTAAATAAGGTAGTCTGTATTTTCTCTCTCCCAGTGGTGAAATCTGCAAAATCTAGATTTGTTTCCCATGTTATATATATACATTAGTGAAAGCCTTAAAATCCATAAAAATTCAGGTGTGAATAGCCTAAATCAGTTTTAAGAAACTTGGGGAAAAGTCTGTAAGATTGGAGCATAGGTTACATGTACAACTCTGTCTAATAATTAGTTTAAAGAGGTCAGTCTGGGTTAGAATATGAAAGACTTTATCTGAGTAGATTGGATTTTAGCCTGAATGCAGGGTAAATGAACAGAAGTTATTTTGGTAAGAGGGAGATATGATCATGTTTACTATTTTGTTCTTCATATTTACTTTTTAGAAAAATTTTTTTAAGATTTTATTTATTTGACAGAGTTCACAAGTAGGCAGAGAGGCAGGCAAAGAGAGAGAGGGAGAAGCAGGGTCCTTGCTGAGCAGAGAGCCTGAGGTGGGGCTCAATCCTAGGACCCTGGGATCATGACCCGAGCTGGAGACAGAGGCTTTAATCCACTGAGCCACCCAGGCACCCCTCACGTTTACTTTTTAATAACACTTTTGATAGCAGTATTAGGGTTGAGATGGGAATAGTGAGACTAGAGTCTAGAAGCTGTCCATGTTTATCCAGATGAAAAATGAGGGGGGACGTGAAGACATACTTAGAAGGTAGAATCAATAGGACCTGATACCCAGTGGAATGTAAGTGAAATGAGGTCAAAGAGATTTACAAACAGTGGTTGACAGTACCATTAATCAAAATTAGAAATGCTGAGGGTGTTGATTCGTGGATAAAGATGATGCAATCAGTTTAAGATGTATATAAGTTTCCAAATTTAAATGGTATAACTATTTTAGCTCTTCATGTTGGTGTTTTGATTTAATTTGTATACACACACACACACACATACATATTAAAATTAGTGTGTGTGGAAAAATGAAATGACTTTTTTTTTTCAAAAACACTCGTAGCTTAAAATTAACCTATTTCTTTGGCAGAGTTTTGGCGATTGGATAAACTAGAATTGAGAAGAAGTTCAAATTTTTTGTTTATTATTTCTGTATTCTGTATTAATAAGATTGACCAGGAAGTAAATGAAAATAGATGCGAACAAAATGCCAAATGGAATCCATGGCAATCCTAACATTTAGGGACTGATGGGAAGGGAGAATCCTCAAAGATCAAGAATCAGTCAGAGACTTTGAGGAAAACAAGGAAGGTGGTAACTCAGCCAAAGGCAAAGAAGGTTCTAAAAGGAAAGCATGGTTAAAGGCCTTTAATAGTGAAGACATTGTTAGAGTATAGACTGTACTATGAAATAAGTGTCCATTTAATTTTGCATGTAATTTTGGTGACTTTTATTAGGGCAATTTCATTGGAGCATCTGGTATGGACACAAATTCAGGAGTAATTGGGAGGTGGGGAAGGAACTGCAAACATTTGTTGATCATTTTCAAGTGATCATTTATAATTTAAATAGGGATTATATTTAATTTTAAAGTAATTTTGCATAAATAAGTCAGTCTTGCAAAATAGTATTGTGCCATTTTACATGTGAGAAAGCCAAGACTTAAAGAAGGGAAAAACTGGGGCACCTACTGGCTCGGTTTGTTAAGCGCCTGCCTTTCAGGTCATGATCCCGGGGTCTTGGGATCAGGCCCCACATCGAGCTCCCTGCTCAGGCAGGGAGTCTACTTCTCTCTCTCCCCCACAGTTGTCCACGTCTGTGTGTACTCATTCCTTCTCTCCCCAATAAATAAAATCTAAGAAAAGAAAAAACTTGCCCAAAGTCAAATAACTAATAGTGTACAGAATTAGGATTTGAATTTATGCCTGTCCATGCTTTCTCTGTTATATTGCAAAGGCATGAAAGAAATGAAGGTGTCATCAAGTGGTCGGTTTTTATTATAAGAAAGGATAGAAAGGGTTTGGTGTTTCATATCAGACTTTTTTTTGAAAGAGTAATGTGTAGTAGGAATTGAATGTGGGATCTAAAATTATACTTCTTGGGCATCTACGTGGCTCAGTCATTAAGCATCTACCTTCAGCTCAGGTCATGATTCCAGGGTCCTGGGATCGAGTCTCACATTGGGCTCCCCGCTCTGCGGGAAGCCTGCTTCTCTGTCTCCCTCTCCCACTCCCCCTGCTTGTGTTCCCTCTCTCACCCTCTCTCTCTCTGTCAAATAAATAAATAAAATCTTTAAAAAAATAAAATTATACTTCTTATATAGAGTATTTATTTTTATTGGCTTCTTTTAGGTTTAAAGAACATGTACAGAATAACTTGCCTAGAGATCTGTTAACTGGCGAACAGTTTATTCAGCTGCGAAGGGAATTAGCTTCTGTAAATGGACATAGTGGTGATGATGGTCCTCCTGGTGATGATCTACCGTCGGGAATTGAAGACATTACTGATCCAGCAAAGGTAACCAGACTTAGTAAAAAACCCTTCAATGCGTGGGAAACTAGACTTTATATCCCCTGACTGTATGTGTTGTATAACATGTATCTCGTATAAAATTAATTTCTAATTAAGGAAAGTGGGACTTCTTTAGCTATAATGTGGTTTAAATACAGATTTAAGGTAGAGAATCTGTTTTACTATGAGACACCTGGAAATAGCTTGGACGAGCTAATAGAATCTATTTTACTATGAGACACCTGGAAATAGAAGGGACGTTTTGCCCATGCAGTAATCTACTTGTCCACTTTAAACACACACAAGAAAGTGGTTTATTAGGAAATTCTATTACAAATTTTAGTATTGTTAATTGTACTTTGCACATAATTGTTAACAGTTTAAAACCTATCACTATTCTCAGATTATAAAGTAGGTGTGGATAATATTTAAATGTAAGCAACAATATTAAAAAATTTCAGTATGTAACTTGTGTGATTTAAATTTTTTTTTTCTTCCCAAGCTGATTACAGAAATAGAAAACATGAGACATAGAATCATTGAAATTCATCAAGAAATGTTTAATTATAATGAACATGAAGTTAGTAAAAGGTGGACATTTGAAGAAGGTGTAAGTGTTTTTGTTTTGTAATAGGCTTCAAAATATAAAGGTAGAAATAATGTATTTTCTTTTCAGTTTTGAGTAATGTCTCTTCTCCTTTTTATTTTTGCCTATTTAGATACCATCAATTTCCCATGATCATTTTTATCATTTTCCATTATCAATTTTAGAATCTTCAAGAATGAATTCAGATTTACTCAAGTTGGAAGATAACCATTTACTGCAGTTATTCAGTTTTTTAAATCAGCTTAATTGAGTTCATACTTTATGTACAACAGAATGTACCCATTTTAGATGGGTAGTAAAATGAGGGTTTCCCTCCACCAATTCTAATTTATTTCTGGTTTTTTAAAACAATTTTGAGATAAAATGCACTTACCATATATATAGTTCATCCATTTAAAGTATATAATTCAGTAGTTTTTAGTGTATTCACAGATAGGTACCGCCATCACTGTGGTCCATTTTGGAACATTTTCATCACCTCACAAAGGAATCCTTTACTCTTTACCTTTAGCTGTCACCCCTCTACTCCCTCACCTGTCTGCTCCACCGCTTATCCCCAGCCCTAAGGTACTACTAATCTACTTTCTGTTCCTATAGATTTTCCTGTTCTGGCCTTTCATTTGAGTGGAATCATACAGTATGTTGTTTTTTGTTGATTGGCTATGAGGTTTGACTGTATATTCAGATTACAGTGCACCACAGCAATCAGGATATGGAACTAGTCTGTCATCCCAGAAAGTTCCTTTGGCCCCTTTTTCATTCAGTAACCTCCACCCCACTCCTAGCCCTAGGCAATTACTGATTTGTTTTCTGTTTCATAGTTTGTGTTCAGTTTTAAAATACTCAATAAAGAAAAATATTTACTGGACATAAAATTGTGTAGTGCCATTACAATTACTAAATAAATGGAAAATACATTCTATTTCTTCAATTTGTAAAGTCTAAGAAATTTAATTTTAAAAGTTTTTATTGTGAAGTATGGTGATTAAAATTTTTTTGGTTCACCGTAATTACATACATAATTTAGATAATTCCTATTATTACTATAGTTATACATTATCTGGTGTTGGTATTGGTTTAGTTTCATTCCTATGTCATACTTTTTTCTGTCATACTTCTATTGCAGATTAAAAGACCTTATTTTCATGTGAAACCATTGGAAAAGGCACAACTAAAAAACTGGAAAGAATACTTAGAATTTGAAATTGAAAATGGGACTCATGAACGAGTTGTGGTTCTCTTTGAAAGATGTGTCATATCATGTGCCCTCTATGAGGAGTTTTGGATTAAGGTAAGAAAATTAGGTGCTCTGAAACTTGAACATATTATAAACATTGATCTAGTGACTAACCTTTTTTGTACTTCTGTTGAATGTTGTTCATATAACTATATCTGTTGCATTAGGAGATGGTCTGCTTGCAACCAGATTTGACTGCTGCATATGCCAACCTCGTTGCCTCTCTTCGTCCTTCCTTACAGAAACTAGTCTAGTGGTTCAATAAAGGTGCTGAATGGGTTTAAAAATAGAATTTTATCGTTCTGTCACATATTTAATGGCTTGTTCAACTGTAAATTATTCAGTACTTCCTCTGTTTCTGTATGTAGTATGCCAAGTACATGGAAAACCATAGCATTGAAGGAGTGAGGCATGTCTTCAGCAGAGCTTGCACTATTCATCTCCCAAAGAAACCCATGGTGCATATGCTTTGGGCAGCTTTTGAGGAACAGCAGGGTAAGAATGAGGAAATTTGGTTGATATTTTTGGGATTTTAAGTTACTTCAGGAAAAAGTTCTAGGAATTGAGTCTTGCGGGATGGTGTAAAGCAGAGGTCATTAGATTTTTTCTATAAAGGGCCAGATAGAAAATAGTTTAGGCTTTGCAAGCCATATGGTCTTTTTCCTGACAACTCTGCCGTTATAGCCCAGATACATCTGCAGATAATAGATAAACAAATGAGCATGGCTTTTTCCAGTTTTAAATTAAAAAACAAAACAAACAAAACAGGCAGAGGGCTGGATTTAGCCTATGGACTGTTACTTGCCATACCTTGCATAAAGGATATTTCAGAAGTTTAAACAGAAGCATAAACATTTAATTAACATTTCTAGGTAATATTAACGAAGCCAGGAATATCTTGAGAACATTTGAAGAATGTGTTCTAGGATTGGCAATGGTTCGTTTGAGAAGAGTAAGTTTAGAGCGACGGCATGGAAATATGGAAGAAGCTGAACATTTGCTTCAGGATGCCATTAAGAATGCCAGATCAAATAATGAATCATCGTTTTATGCTATCAAACTAGCTCGGCATCTTTTCAAAATACAAAAAAACCTTCCAAAATCAAGAAAGGTGCTTTTGGAAGCAATCGAAAGAGACAAAGTATGTATTTGTATTTTAGAATATCTTTCATAAAAAACAAAAACAACCCAAAAAACAGTGCTTCTTGTTTGTTTTCTCATTTTGGCAACTATGATGAAAGATTTGGTCTGTATGTAATATATTTCATTACTAAATGAAGACAACAGTCCCTCTAAACTGATGTTGCCATTCTTCAAAATTTTTTTGAATTAGGAATTAAAGGTTGAGAAAATTAAAATTATTGGAATAAAAATGGTTGCAGACATTGTGACGTGTTCTGTTTCTCTTATGTTTAGAAATTTTACAGCAGATTTACTGATTATTTTAAGTAGAGGAGGACCTGGAAGAATACCTTATAATCAAAAGCATGATAGTTGTCTACGTTTTATCTGCTATACCAGTGAGAGTCTCCTTTTCAAAGTATTTTACTCTGTCAGTTGATAAAAGGCAGTGTATATGATATTTCTAAGTTTTTAAGGATTTTCAGCTAATACCAGCTCTGTTTAAGACACAGGTCTGTAACTGTGTTTCCCAGCTGCAGTTGAAGATGATTGCAGTTGCCAAAGATTTAAACTAATGGGAAGTGTAGAAACTATTTTTTAATGTTTTATTTTTTTATTTGTCATAGTAAGATCAAGCCACATTAAATCCAAGGTAATAGGATTTTCACTTACTGGGATTTAACAATTTTCGTAATTTGGGAGATAGTAGGATGATGTCATTACTTCTCAGTGTGCTAATTATTAGTTTTTTGACATGTTTTGATGTATGCTCAAAACATTTAACATGTTAGATTTTAATATGATTTTCAGTATTTTTCAAATTTAGACATTAAGGCATTTTAAATATCTGTTCTAATCAAAATATCTTAGAATTATTATTAATTGATACTGCTTTTTACACAGGAGAATACAAAGTTATACCTCAATTTACTTGAAATGGAATATAGTGGTGACCTCAAACAAAATGAAGAAAATATCCTAAATTGTTTTGACAGAGCTATACATGGTTCATTACCTATTAAAATGAGAATTACATTTTCTCAGAGAAAAGTGGAATTTCTTGAAGATTTTGGTTCAGATGTTAATAAGTAAGATCTTAATTATATATTATCTATTTATTTGCATAGTCAATGAGCATTGATAATTTTGGTTGAGAGTTTGATGATTAGTACAAATTATTATATTGTTAAATTTAAAATGTTTGTCTAGGTTACTTTTTCCTCATATATATGGAGGGAAAACTCAATTTTGCAAATGTGTATGTATTTAACAGGAGGATAGATGGTTTGTCTTTCCTTCAAAATTGTTTTCAAAATTTTAGCATGGTAATGGAAGCAATGAGCGAAGGCAGGAAACAGCAATCCCATGAAAAAGAAATGGGTCAAGGATTGAACCCTAAAACACAGAAATAGAATATAGGCCACTAAAAGTGGATGGGTTTAATCTGAAATAGGGATGCCGTTTTATCTCTGATTGGAGAAAATGGATATGGTTGCACAGATCATGCCTAATGGACTCAATGCATTGTAAGAAGCTGAAAGTTGAGGGTGGTGGAAGGATTCACTCTAAGGCATTTGGGAAAAGGAGAAGTTTAGGATTTATATTTGCAAAGTAGAAGAGTAGAAGTACTGGTAAGAGTGTTGCTGTTGTTCCATTCTTAACTGATTGTAGTGGGGAACTATCCCACTCATTAGTAGGCATGTCCCTTTTTTCCTTTGAAAGAACCATTGATAAAATGAGGATTTGTGTGTCTTTATATATATGTGTGTATATATTTTTGATGGTTGTGTAAAATTTTAGTTAAAATAATAAACATTTTAACATAAGTTAATTTTTTTTTTTTAAAGATTTTATTTATTTGACAGACAGAGATCCCAAGTAGGCAGAGAGGCAGGCAGAGAGCGAGGGGGAAGCAGGTTCCCTGCTGAGCAGAGAGCCCGATTCGGGGCTCGATCCCAGGACCCTGGGATCATGACCTGAGCGGAAGGCAGAGGCTTTAACTCACTGAGCCACCCAGGTGCCCCAAACATAAGTTAATTTTTAATACAATCGTATGTATGTGCTTGACACATTAAATGTGTTTTATGAATTATCTAATGTAAAATATGTAAGCCTAATGAAAAAGGTGTAGGTAACTTTTTTGTTGTTGTTGGTACTGTTGTTCTTTTAATAGATGAAGAGAGGCTTAAAGAGATTAATAGTGTTTGCAAAGGTCAGTTAGCTATTATTTCATTGTGCAGCTGGGAATAGAACTTGCTTCAAAGTCTGTGCCTCTAACCACATGTGCTGTATATTTAGTGTCTTCTGTTTATTTTGTACTGAAGAAAGTGCACAAAAGAAATGGGATATTTTAATTCCAGGTTTTAGTCTAGTGGATGGTATGATGATCAGAGATCATCATATGTAAGTATCTGAGGTGGCACAAAACCGTTAAAGAAGGCTGTGATTTCTGTGGATCAGAATGGATTTGTCATCCTTCGCAGAGGAGATGGGGCTTCATTTAGGTACTCCTGGATTCTGACAAGGAAAGGATAAAGTGGTTGAAGAAAAGTTCATTTAAAAGTAACATCCGCTTTATTGGAGGGCTTTTGAAGTAGTAGAAATGTGATGTTGATTGTGCTGTGCATTGAACACTGGGCTAGGTTAGAGCGCATGCAGTACCACAAATGACAGTAGGAAGCTGTTAGAGTTTTGACTGAGATTATGTGATATATTTGAATTCGGCAATAGTATGTGGACAAATCTGAGGCTCGACATAAAGATGCCTGTTAGGCCCTTGCAAATATAGAGGGTCTGAATGTCAGGTCTAAGATTATTGTAGTTGAAATTTAAAAAGGGAATGATTAAAAAATAAATGAGCTTAAAAATTAGAAACTTAGAAATTTAGGTAGCAGTATAAGGTATTGGTAAGAATTGATGTTTAATTCATAGAATATATGCTTAAGTCTTAGCTTAGTCACTTTACCATTTGTGTATTCCTGTTTTCAAATTTTCTCATGATTGAATCTCTTATCACCTAATCCACAGGTTAAAAGTCTTGAAAGAACTTAGTCCATTTAAAGTGTTTGATGTTGAGTAAGCCCTCAACCAGAGATTGCTGGTATTAACAATTTTATAGCCTCTTGAACCTTTTGGGATCAGAGTTACAGGTTATCATTAGATGTGTATGTATGTATGTATGTGTGTGTGCGTATGTGTATGTATATGTATGTATGTGTGTGTGTGTGTATATATATATGTATATATGTATATATATATGTATATATGTGTGTGTGTGTGTGTGTGTATATATATATATATATATATATATATATATATATATATATATATATGCAGGCTTCCCAGGGAAGTTCTGTATGCATGTAAAGTATATAAGGTCATTTATACAGAAATATTATCTGTGTTCAAGTTTATGATTACTTAAAAAAAAATAAGGCCATTTGTCTTTATAAAAAAAAATTCAGAAAATGGTAAAAGGAAAATAAAATCTTTAGGATTTTTACAGTCAGTTTGGCTTCAGTTGACACTGTTTTTGAAGTTCTGAGTTCCAGGTGAGATAATGCACATATCGATGTTAGAATTTTTTTTATTTATTAAAAATTATCTTCAAAAAATTTTGAGAGAGTACACGTGCAAGCAGTGGGGAGGGGCAGAGGGAGAGGGCGAGAGTCTTAAGCAGACTCTCCATTGAGTGCAGAGCCCAGCACGGGCATGATCTCACAACCCAGAGATCATGACCTGAGTGAAACCAAGAGTTCGATGCTTACCCAACTGTGCCATGCAGGCACCTCCTAAAAAACTACCTTTTTAATCAATGATAACAGATTGTAGTTCTGTATGTTTTTTTTTTTTTTAAAGATTTTATTTATTTGAGAATGCAGAGAGAGTGAGCAAGCACAAGCAGGATGTTGGGAGAGGGCAAGAGAGAGAGAAGCTAGCTCCCTACTGAGCAGGGATCCTGATGCGGTATTCGATCCCAGGACCCTTGGGATCATGACCCAAGCCAAAGGCAGACTCTTAACTGGCTGACCCATCCAGGCACCCCTGTAGTTTTGTATTAGTTTTAATTCAATTTATCACATGGCCAGCGTTTAAATATAATTTATCCTAACTGGTGTCAGGTATCTTAATAAGCACTGTTAAATTAGATCTGAAAGTATATAAATTACAATGGTCAGGATTCATTCTTTGCACTGACAAAAACACACCCTCAAAATCACTCTTAGTTGCGTAGTAAATTTCTTTGGTGGGCTCTCTGTGTTAGTAATGATAATCAAAGGAAGCTCTTGACCAATATCTCATCACCTTCAGCCAACTGTAGTACAGAGAATAGGCATTTTTTTTTAAGATTTTATTTATTTATTTGATAGAGATAATGAGTAGGCAGAGAGGCAGGCAGAGAGAGGAGGAAGCAGTCTCCCCGCCAAGCAGAGAGCCAATGTGGGGCTTGATCCCAGGACCCTGGGATCATGACCTGAGCCAAAGGCAGAGGCTTTAACCCGCTGAGCCACCCAGGTGCCCCCAGGCATTTTTCTAATAGCTCAAGAATCCCAGGACTTACTAAACATCTTGATTTGGGTCATATTGGTCAGGAGATATACTGTAATTGGCCAGTCCTGAATCCCTGAAGCCCCATTTAAATCACATGGGCTGAGAAGCAAAGCAGAGAGTAATGGTTTCCCAAAGGAAATACATTGGAAAAGGTAGCTGGGAAGTTTGCTAATACTGGTTCAGTGGATATTCACTGCAACATATTTTTGTTTCCAAGTGGAAAGAAGTCCAAAACAATAAATATAACAGTTTGGTTTTTGTGTATTCCAGAGGATTTTTTTTTTTTCCCTCCTTCCCTCTCAGGCTTCTCAATGCTTATGATGAACATCAAACACTCCTAAAAGAACAGGATTCTTTAAAAAGGAAAGCAGAAAATGGGTATGTAATGAAGGGATGCTTAAAAGAAGACATTTCATTGTGGAAATGCCTTTAAAGATAAATATTTTTACATGTTACCTTCATGTTGTGGTAGATACTTTATATTCATGATTTTAAAAAATCTTACAAAAGTGAGTGGTTAAAAACTTAACTAAAATAAATGTACATGGATACAAATGTACACATTCATCCATTTGTTTTAAAAGTACTTACCTGTGGGAATTTTGAAAGTTTCTATTTTGTCCTTTTATTTAGATCAGAAGAACCAGAGGAAAAGAAAGTTCACACAGAAGATACAACTTCATCATCTACACAGATGATTGATGGTGATTTACAGGCAAATCAAGCTGCGTATAATTATAGTGCCTGGTATCAAGTGAGTTCACACAATTTAATCTTTTGTTCATGGATGTTAGTTAGAAAAGCATAAGTTAGGATAGGTTTTTTTTTTTTTTTTTAAACAACTTCTACTCCAGACTGTATAATAAATTAATTTTTGTGGTTAGGTCTTAGAATTGTTAGCAGTGAACACATGCCTTTTTTCTTAAATATATCTACTTTTATAAATGGAATCAGCCAGTTCTAGCATGCTAACATGTGTGCTTTTTCCTTTCAGTACAATTATCAGAATCCTTGGAATTATGGACAGTATTACCCTCCCCCTCCAACCTGATGAGAAAATATATCAGATGGAATGTGTGAAAAATACGAAAATTATTTTTTTTTAATGAGGGATGTAAACATAACATAAACTTGTTGTATTTGATAACTTGTCTTCCTGTTTCTGTGTAACATGATTTGTTTAGTAATAGGGGAAAATGTCACTTAGTAGTTTACCACAGATATTTCCTACCATTTATAAACTTTACTTTTTATTGGAGAACTATTTTTTTGATTTTTGCATTAAGTGGTCTAGAATTCTTTTGCAATGCATTCGCAACAGTTTTGTAGCCTTAAGGGGTAGGAAAAAAGAAAAAAAAACTGACTGTAAATCATGTCAGTATAGTACAAGATTCTGAAAATCCATAAGGGCTGGTTATTAAGGATTTACCTCTGTAAAAAAAAAAAATGGATTTTTAACCTTTGATGACAAGGTTTTGTCTGTTTCAGTTATCCTTGTGAATTTGGATTTAACTGCCAGAAAAGATACACTATTAAATACTATGTCTTGGGATAGAGATTATAAATGAAAAATGGAATGTTTGCATCCCTTTTAAAAAATGAGAATCATATCAAAAGTATGTTGTTTCAGGAGACTTTGTATTTAGAATATTCATGTAAAACTTGTGAGCAAGCTTTCATTTTGATCAAACTGATCATCTTCATTTTTGTAATAAAACTGAAGACTCCTCAACAAATTGTTATGAATTTATTGGGGGAGGGCTGGATCACCTAATAGTATTAACTTTATTCATTATTAGTGATTCATTGGTTTTGAAGTATACTTTTCTTGAATTTAGTTATCTTCTTGCCAGCATTAGGCCATTTAGCTGTTTTTGCTTCCTCAGTTTCTGTGCTTGTCTTCTCACTATACAGGGCTACTTCTTTTAAAATTTTAAGAGGAGGGGCGTCTGGGTGGCTCAGTTGGGCATCCAACTCTTGGTCCACTTAAGTTGTGATCTCAGCGTTGGGATATTGAGCCCTGTGTCCGGCTCCAAGCTCAGTGGGGAGTTGGCTCCAGATTCTTTTCCTCTTCTCTGCTCCTCGCTCTCCCCTCCCCCAGCTCATGCACATACACTCTTTCTAAAATAAATAAATAAAATCTTAAAAAAGTCTTAAAAGCTCTTTAGAAAAAGAGAAAAGATTTTAAGAGGAGTGTCCCTGGAAAAGCTGTCTAGATAATTTTACTATAACTCCTTGTTCTGATTAAGCCTTAGCTGTGGTTAAGCTCATCAGAACATTTATATATTAATACCAAACAAATGCAAGACACTGAATATGTTTTTATTGAGCCTTTTAGTTTACAACATGAGGTAAAGGAAAGTTATTTCTCCTTAACCAGTATTTTACATAGCTGTAGTAAAATATTTCAAACTTTAGGGAATTATAATGGATTACATATATTAAAAGTTGGGGATTGGGTAAACAATATCTGAGCTCTTGAATTTTCCAGTTGACTCTTCCCTTACAATAGTAACCAGCTCTAATTAGTTACATAAGTTTCTTCAAGGCAATGTTTTATTGTTGCTGATGTCATTATATCTGAAGCATTGCTGCTATTTCAGTCAATATCCACTAATTCTACTTCAAAAATGAGTTTTGCATTTGGTGGAATTCTGTTAAAGAAGTCAAGGTAAATTTGATAAAAATTACTTCTTCCTCATCCCCAATAACCTCAGTCTAAAATTAGAATTATATATAATGGATATTGGATATTAACCCCAAAGAGAAGAGCTTTATGACTGATGGAGGTGCTAGTACATACTAGCTTAGTGGTTGCTAAAAATATCTTTGTGAATGGTGATTATAACCTATCATCAGTACAGACCGACTAGATAGATAGGTTGAGTTTGGACTTGGATATTCCTTTCTTGGATGCTTCATCAGTACTCCCAATTTACCACCACCTAATGAAGACTGCTACTCTGTGCTTACCCCCCCCCCAAAAAATTTTTTTTTCTATCTAGTTGGGTGTATAAGTTATATTAAATCAAAGTTCATATAGCTAATGCCTGATATTTGCTATGAATTTTAAGACGGTGAATTCAGAGAAGTGTGATTTTTATTTGATTGGTTTTGAGATGCTTCACATGAGAGAGGGGGAGCTGCAGTTGGGCCATCTAGTTTTGATAGGTTTAGAAGAGGATTATTATATTCCCAAATAATCTTAACTGATAAAGTTGGAGAGGCCTTCCAAATTTTTAAAAACGTACTTTAACTGATCCAACTAATCCAATGGGAATGGAACTAACAACATAAAAAACTACCTTCTAACTTAATTATTGGATTGTTCTGGTTGACATGGTCAGGAGGCATGGCTTTTGAATTTTCATAAACAAGGCCTATCAGAAAAGTATTATCATAAGTAGTAATCACAGATGCTTACACATTGTTGGACCCATGGTCTCAACTTCACAACTGGTAATCCTCAATATGTGTTCCCTTTCTAAGCTTTGAGTACCCATTAATTACCTGAAATTATACTGTAGCATAAAATTACCATGAGCCATACTTGTATCCTATAACTTGCTTCAGTTGTTTGTACTGGACATCGGACATCTTAATTCCTTGAAGTAAATCCTTCATACAGTAACAACTGCCTTTCAAAGATGAAAACTTAAAACCTCATAGTTTACCTCTAAAAATAGAAAACTTGAGTTCAAGAGGAAAAAAAAGTAAGAATCTATTCTAGCTCAAGTTTGCACACTTTTTCTCAATGAAAAATATTAACTCCTGTCCATATTGAAGGTGCTGATACAGAAGCATCTAGATATCAGGAATACTAGTCTGGACATGATTCCTGTTCTCCAAGTTAACCTAGACAATATCTTTTATACATTCAGGTGGTCTTTCTTCGTGTTTTTTTCTTTATTCACAAAGGAAAAAAGGATACTTGGCATCAGGCTGTCCTTTCTTTCCATAAGCCCATTCTGGTTCAATCTCTAGTCGAGCCTTTTCTCCTTTACTCATAGTTAAGAGTGCTTCATCCCACTAAAGGCAAAACATGAAATAAAAACTAATGACAACTGAAAAAAAAATTCATGAAAATCTAGAAGGCTGAATATACCAAAAAGCATTGTTACTGGATTTTACTATATCGTAAGGCAACGTCCTTGGGTGAATCTTTGTCTTTTATTTCCTCAATGAAAAAAAAAAAAAAAAGATACGTTAAACAATTTTTTTAGTGCAATATATGCTTCAAATGCTACAGTGTGAACTTTCTAAAATGTTAACTATCTTAAGTTATGGAAACCAGTTTATTAGTAATATAAAAAACTTGATACACTTGATATATCCCAGGGCAAACTTCTGACTTTATATTAGAGGGATAAACTAAAAACAAAATCGTCTTAAGATCACTAGATTGTGGAGTCAGGATGGCACATAGAAGATAAACTACATGTTATGGCACTGACCTTCTGTAGAAGGTAAAACTATTCAAAGAAATGATACAGGTTTCTGTGTTGCCATTCCATGAAAACATATATATATACGTTAACTTTTAAGTAAACTGTACCCCTAACATGGGGCTTGAACTCACAAGCCCCAGATAAGTCACATGCTTTACCGACTGAGACTACCATATGCCCTGGATCTTAAAGGAAGTTACTAAAAACAGTTAAATCTACAAGATGCAAAGGTAGATATGACAGATCATATACTCTGATAAAACTCAAGGGATAGAGATCTGTTATATGATGGAAATTAATACGGTTCACTAGAAGAAATACACAAGCAAATTAGTCATGGAAGCAACTGATTAGCTTGGTATACAGTTATTATCAATTTGGTATAATCAGGTAGCAGTTAGGATTATTTTCAACTAAACCTTTAGTTTTAAGATGTTTTATAATCTGTTTGGGGCTCTGAATATGATTGAGCTGTTTTTTAGGACTTACCCACAATAAAAAGAATAACATGGAGGGTTCTCAGTGCATTTAACAGGCATTTCAGTTATAATGTTTTATGTTGTGAATAAAGACATTTTAATAATAAATGGGCCCTGGAATAACAACTTGATTCAGTGAAGCCAGTAATGAGCCCTGCTCTATTACCTCCTTTCGTACACTGCATTGGTCAGTACAGCTCAATCCCACCTTCCCCCTTTTCTCAAAGTGTCCTTCTATTATCTCTCCATGTAAGTAAGGGTAGCCAAAAAAAGCATGCTTTTATCTGAAAGATTTTCCAGTGTTTGAATCCCGGTTGTGAGAGGTGAAAAGGCCTAGAATAAACTTTTGCTTCTATATTAAGTACTTCAGTGAAACAGGTATTTTACCTTTCTCTTTGATGTGAAAGTGGTAAAACAACCTATGTAACATTTTATAAGAGTCTTAAAGATAAATTTAGAAAGCCAAACTTTCTGATGAAGAATTTATGATGAAAAGTAAAAGAGGCAGACATAAAGAAAATAATACTTGAGTCTCATTATATTATGCATTGTAGTTATGCTCATTTAATTGTTCAGCAACCTTGAGGAAGACTATAGTGTCCATAACTGAGACCCAGAAAACTTGGGCCAGATCAGTTAGCAATGACAGCACTGATTTGTCAGTCTCCAAAGACTGTTCATCATATCCCCAATCCTAATTATGGCACCATACCACATGCAGCATGTGCCAAAATATCTAATGATTCATTGCCATTTTTACTTACTCCTCTGATAACTTTGCCTATTCCGACCTTAAAACTTAAAGGCTTGGCATTTTTCTTCTTCTTTGAACCTGTAAAACAAAATTTTCTTATAGTGCATGATGAAATTAAGTTCCACTGGAAAAACGTAATGATATAAGTCTTTAATTTTAGAACTTAACATATTATGCATTTGAAAAGAAATAAAGATTCAGAAAGCTAATGCACCAAGAAAATTCTGTATGTAAAAATAGTTATGGTCTAAAACGAGGGAGAGAATAAGGACCTATATTTACACTACTAAAACAGCACTCTGTTCTGACTTTTACATTAAATACGAAAGCCTCAACTTTGGGATATTAACCAAGTTTCGACTAAGCTTATTTTTTGCTTCCCAATGACCAAGAAGTATTTATTCACCCGGCCAATAAATAGTGAACTGAAGACCTCTGAGTCCAAGTAAATCACAGGTGCAAAAGACTTCTGGAAAAAAGTGACAGCCAAGAGAAAGGTGCAGCCAACTGTTCATGTACCACACACATATTTTGCAATGCCTTAAATATAGAAAGGTAAGATTACATTTAGACTTACTCGTTTGAATATTAGTATCAAAAACAGTCCCATCCTGTAGTGTTCCTGTATACCAGCAGTGAACAACATCACCCTTTTTGGGAAAGTTGGTTTTATCTCCTTTTTTAAGAACAGATTTTATATATTTTGGTGGACCCTAAAAACAAACAAAACAACACAGTTAACTCACATCCTTCTTTTAGAAGGATGACAAAGAGAATTCTTTTTCTTTTTTTTTTTTTTTGGACAAAGAGAATTCTTATATAGCCAATTATGACCCAAGTCTGGTCACAAAGTTTCACAGATTAGGTAACAAACTATTTACCTCTGAGTTTAAAAAAAAACAAAACTCATTATCTACTTGCAAGTCTGTGGCAATATTAATAAACAGCCTATCTATAATTTCAAGTAACTTCCAGCTACCTTGGAAACCAATGTTCTTTTGACAAATTCTATTATTCAACAAACCATAAAATAAATCCCATTATTTTCCAAGGTT